TGTGGTGTGGATGTTTGCGTGCCTTCCAGATTCACATGCTGCAGCTTCATCCCCAGTATGGTATTATTAGAGGGTGGGGCCTTCTGGTAGGTGGTTAGGTCACAGCCACCCACTTCATGGTGAACAAAAGGGCAGCCATGTTAGAACTTGACCTCCTCCCTCTTAAAGGTAGCTTAGTGGAAACTCAGCCTGAAAAAACCAAACATCCACCTTTAGCCGTTACTAGAAATGCCCTACCTGGCCTGCCCTTAAGCCATTCTGGGGGTGGGGGGATGTCAAAGGGCCATTGAGGATTTTCCTGCTCAGTGACCTTCCTGGGACTTCTCCACCAACCCTCTATAAGTATCCCAGTCTATAAGCAGTGGTGGGCTCTAGCTGTCTTGCTGGAGACCCCCTCCACAGAGTCTCTTCCTAAATAAACCCTGTGCTGGTGTTTGAGCTGCCCCTTCTATCTTTCTAAGCCTCTTTTGTTCTAACAATTGGTGCCTCCATGAAAGAGTTTGAAAGGGTTGTGTTTGTTCCTCTATCCTGTGAGGACACATAGAAGGCGCCATCTTTGAACCCAGAAGTGGGTCCTCGCCACTCTCAGTAGCTTCATCTTGGACTTCCAGCTTTTGGAACTGTGAGCAATAAATTTCTGTTGTTCATAAACTTCCCAGCCTAAGGCATTTGTTATGACAGCCTACATGGATGAGAGAATTACACTAGGACAAGAGGTCTGGGGTGGAGGAAGACCATAGGTTAGGGGATAGGTGTGGGAGTGATGAGATGGGAGATAAATCGCCATTCTTACCATTGCACACTGGGTAACATGCCAAAGGCAACACGGCCCTGCTGATGCTGATCTCGATCACCTGGCTCAGGTAGTGCCTGTCAGGCTTCTCCACTGTGAAGTGCTCCCTTGCTTCCTCTTTCCTTGTCATACTCTCTACAAGGAAGACACTATGCACAGCCCACATTTATGGGATGGGGAGTTACGTGCACTTCCTTGAGAGAAGAGTACAGTAGTGTTTTTATATTTAGAAAAAGACATTTCCACACTGAAAGACAAGGAGCGCCATGTACCAGTGGAGCAAAAATCCAGAACTTCCTGTGCATCCCAGCCAGCAGTGGAGGTGTGACAAGGGTCAACTGCCCAGCAATGCAGTGGAAGATGCAAAATCTGAGTGCTTGAGTGCAAAGGTCAACCTGACTTCAAGAGCCAAAGATGCCACAAACATAAAACCAAAAAAACTGGGCATAAAAGGTAGGCAAGGTCTGAACCAGTTGGGATATTTCTGACAGGTACTGACTTTATTCTCCCTTATGTCTCCTTTGAACACTCAGGATTCTGTCCCCATTGGATGGCCCTTCCTCTGTGGAGTCTGGAGCAGGTGGCAAGGCCCCTATGTCACTGGCGAGCTCTTCATTTATTCAACATATCTGCCCTACGCCAGGTAATATTCCAGTTGCGTGATATGAAACACCCACCACGGCAAGGAAGACAGAAGGTAGGAGAAGTTAGCAATGTCATTTAAGTTGACAAGACTACAAAGAAATAAAATGTGCACAAAAGCTAAAAAGTGATGGATGACCAACTCCTTCAGATGGCGGGGTCCAGAAAGACTGTGAGTTGGACTTTCATTGCTGTGACAAAATACCTGACACAGGACAACTTAAAGAGGAAGGATTTATTTGCTCATAGTTTCAGTCCATGGTAGGCTTCCTCCCTGTGTGGCCCAGTGGTGAAGTAGTACATCATGGTGGAAGGATATGGGTGAGGAAGTGTGCTCACCTTTAGGGTAGCCAGGAAGCAGAGAGGAGTAACAGGAAGGTCCAGGCCAAGATGTGCCCTTCAAAGTCACCCCTCCAGTGACCTACTTCCTCCAACTTCCACACGTCCAACACTTCCCTATAGTCTATTCAAAGTTTGAGTCCATCTATAGATGAAACCATTGATTAGGTCCAAGCCCTTATAATCAAACCGTCACTGGCAATGGTCTCATAGACGCACCCAGAGTGTGTTTTTACCAATCTCCTAGGCATCTCTCAATCCAATCAAGATGACAATCAAGATTAACCATCACAGAGATTTCTCTGAGACGTGGGCATTGGAGTTGATCCTGCATGATCACCTGGAAAGAATGTTACAGGCAGAACAGGAGTGCAGAAGACCTGAGATGGGAGTGAGCTTTACGGAAGAGAGCAGAGGAAGGCCCACGTGGTGGAGCAAAAAGAGAAAGGGGAGGAGGCTTCCAGGTGGAGATCAGATAATGCAAGGCCTGTGGGCTGAAGTGGAATTTGGATTTTAGTCCCATTAGTCAAACTATGGATTTTATTCTGATTTTGTGTGTGTGTGTGTGTGTGTGTGTGTGTGTGTGTGTGTGTGTGTGTCTGGAGCCAAACCCAGGCCTCCGTACATGCTAGGCAAGTGCTCTACCACTGAGCCATACTCCCAGTCCCTGATCGTGTGTTCAGGTCACTGCATCTCCCACGAGAGATGCCCTGTGAAGGGAACAGTGTGGACATAGGAAAACGACCAGCTGCTCTTGCTTTAGGGAGGAGCAGAAGAAACAAGCACACAATACAGTGTGCAAAGTGCTATGTCCAGGGCCTGAGATGGAAAAAGGTGAAAAACATGCAATAAAGTAAAGCAAAACAGTAAGTGCAGTAAACAAACGCACCACTGTGGCGTTCCACCTTCCCTGCACTTTTTCCAACTTAGCCTCAGACTACTTTGTAGCTCCCGTTTTGCAAGGTTCTTTGTAGAGGGTGGGACAACCCCAAGGGAGCCGTTCCCCTGTACAGGACCAACTGGCCACAAGTATGGAGGGTGAGCCCCAGGGAGCCAGAGTGCTTCTGCACACATTTTCAGGATCACACTTGACTTAGAAAAGTGGGTCTGAAATGCCAATCCAGGCGTAAGTGAGGACTCGTGTGTGTTGAGCGTCTTGCTTGGCAGTACTGACAGCCAAAGCCTTAGTTTGGTAGAGGATGGAGGTAAGAACATTAGATTTGAATGAGTTCAGAAAAAGAAAAATAGGGTCAAAATGATGGGTGGTACAGGATAAACTGGAGGTGGTCAATTGTGTTTGGGGGGAGGCAGAGATGGCTAGACTCTTGTGTGGGAAGGAGTAAGAATACACTGTCCACAGCACCCAAGTGTGGAAAACTCCAGGATGAATCATGGAACGCCTACGTCACAAACAGCTATTTTGAGCCCAGCTAGAAAGTTTCAGCTCTGTCAGCCTTTATGGCAATGAGTGGCCAACCCAGGCTGTTAGCGATTCAAGTCACTGCATCCCTCAAACAAAACTTCAATCAACTGAGTTCCATGAGCGTAGCTGCACCTGACTGCCTGGAAGACGAAAAATAAACCTTTATGGCGTTCGTGGCTTGCTAAGCCCCAAAGGTCAGTTCCAAGAGAGCCGGAACCTGAAAAGGGAATTTAGCCAAAGAGAGGTCAAGCAATTCCTTTCAGAAGAGGAGGTATGAGAAACAATTTCCTATTCCTGGCAGATCCCCAATACATTTTGTTCAAGGCATTCAGATTTTAAATGTCACATGTGTTATCCCCATGTGAAGTAAACATTCTGCCTTAGTATGTCTTCTGTTGCTCTGACGGAATGCCTGAGGCTGGGCTAATTTATTAAGAATAAAGGTCTAGCTAGCCAGGTCTTATGGCACAAACCTACAATCACAGCACTCAGGAGCCTGAGGCAGGAGGATTGTGAATTCAAGGACCAGCCTAGGCTAACACAGCAAGACCCTGTTTCAAAATAAAGAACAAAGGCTTTTTAGTTCACTTGTTCTAAGAGGTTGGGACGTTCAAGAGGACGGCATCAGCATCTTTCTGCA